TACTACTAAATTAAAGATGATAATGCTGCTGCTGCTGCTGCTACTACTACTACTACTACTACTACGACTACTACTACCACTACCACCACCACTGCTACTACTGCTACTACTGCTGCTACTGCTGCTACTGCTGCTATTGCTGCTATTGCTGCTACTGCCACTACTACTACTACTACTACTACTACTACTACTACTACTACTACTACTACTACTGGCACGCGCACTACGACTACTACCCCGCTACCACTGCCACTACTGCTACCACTACCACGACCACTGCCATCACTGCTGCTGCTACTGCTACACAGCGAGACTTGGTCGCCCTATGACATTAAATATCCTGTTGACTGTGTGTGGCTTTCCGAATGGCATGACGAGATGCCTGCAGCCGGCAGTGATGAAAATTGAGCTGCTGCAATGTATGTCCAGAGCATTAGATGGACACGAATCCATGCAACTATCATCCACAAATAAAGCGGGAGCTCTGGACACTTGAGTTCTGTCAAACAGGTAGTAGGCAACTGTGCATCAAGTGCCTTTTTGGCAACTGCTGCCTCGGAAACAAAAAATTGACTAAGGGGCGTCTTCGGTGCATGTACACATGTATCAATGTATCGTCAGGCTATGCTTGCAATCTAGACCGGGAGCCCACTTATCCAACTCACATCTTCAACTGGACCTGCTGCGCTGGAAAGCTGTGTACATTCGCAGCCAGTCTGCGTGGAGATGGAAGCTGCACATGTTGAAGACACGTTCTTTATAGTTGCGCCATATTCTGTGCTTACTGGAACTCTCCACTTCCACATCCTTGATGTCACGCAAAGTACGAATCTCATGCAAGCGGCCGTCGTGTCGTTGTCAAGCATTACAAGATTACCATCATCACGGACATAAGTTATTTAATGCCGGTTTGAAACATCCCCGCCTCAGACTACGAGGGCAAGTGCTGTTCTGCTACCCGCTTCGGCTTGAAGCAGAAACGCTCTTTCTTTGAGTTCCCACCCAAAGCAATGCCGGCGCGAGGCGCGGAAAGCTCATGCCTGCGCGACTGGC